TCCTGCAGGAACTCCGATGTCTGAGTTGACTTGCATGATACAGACCGTTCTTCAATACCCTACAACTTTTAGCAACAAGGGAAGCCTGAGGTGCAATCACCGCATCAATAGATTAATGAATCTAGTATAGTTCAACGGAGCTCTTGGTGCCATTTTTTTAACTACACCTCTTCAAAGTACTGCAGCTCTAACATCCTGTGGGGAAATAGTAATCCCGATCGGAATTTCACGGCTGCCTAGGTACAGGTCTTGGTAGACAATCCGACAAAACCAAACCACGGAAAAGTATATCTAAGTGGGATGGATGATGTCGCAGGCGCGCGCAGGGATCACTCGGTCTAAATTTAAACTGGGTTACACCACGCACGACGATGTGAGCGGTACACTTGTGCGCCTTGATATTCTGGATTTACTTCTCGCATGACGATAAAATTGCCCTGCTATTCAGATAGGCAAGACAGATTTAAACAGGAACATTGGGGGTGCGGCAGTGCAACAAAGCTTGGACCTGATTCGCCGTTCGTCAACACAATTTCATAATAAAATGAGTGTTTGATTACTAGTACAGCTAGATATAAGATATCTCCAGGACACTCAACTCCATTCGTAATCTCGAGGGAGAATGGCACTGGTTTTGGTATGCCATGCAGGAAATGGAACAGAACCAGTGCTAGTGGTTGCCAGGAAGTGGCCCCGGACGCTGCAGCCGTTGAACCTTATTTCAGGCGGTTTTGCAGCGAGTATCTAAATCCCCGGATTCGTCACTTATACGGCTTGGCTCTCGGAACCAATTGAGTAAGCGAATCCAGAATGATTCAACATCGTGCATTTTGGTAGGGCGGGCCAACATCGATTGCTTGTGATAGACAGGGATGAATGCATGCGCAGAAGCTATTCTGAAATCCGACGTTGTGGTACCTATGCTTCCAATCGAATATCAGAGTTTAAGCCACTTCTATTCGAAACCCCGGCTAGTAAGAATCGAATATTCGCTATGGCTTCTATGCCTGCCAAGGGGGGCTGAATCTAGATGTTGACGTTGCTGGTTATATCTGGTAAGTGGCCATGCTAAGATTACCAGTAAGCTGGAATATCTAATTTAATTCTGGTGCGTATCAAACCTGTGGAGTACTTAGTGGTGATTTAATATCCACACCAAAATTCTCGAGGGAGAGCTTGACTGAGTTAAGCTTTCTATAAAACGGATTCGGAGTTACGTCCGGCACAGTGGCGGTCACTTCTTTAAGACTGAAAGGTGAGCTTGAGGAAACGAGGTGCTTATTAGAATCTGATGCGGAATTAGCATTGCAATTTCATTCCGGGAGACTAGATTCCGTTTTATAAACTTTCCACTATTATTGTCAAAGCCGTGGCCAAATTCACTCTTACCAACTCCTATATTGTCCATAATGTCGCACTCAGGAGATAACCAGGTGAATTAAACGCCGGCCCCCGTTTTATTCCTCCGTTGGCAACCACCACAACCTTGGTTGTTCAGAACATAAACTAATATGAAAGGCAGGATATACCGAAAATACCAGCATGTGACTGGTGTAGAGAGAAGAAAATCCGCTGCGGCAGGGAGAAGCCGCAGTGTAGAAATTGTATGTCGCGGAGAATTCCATGTGTGTACTCTGACCGACCAAAGCGAGAAAATGAGAACACGAGAACGTCAGTACAGGCTCTCTTGAAGAACTTGGGAGGACGTCAACTAACCCGAAAGTTTGTGGCATACAGCGCACACCTGTTTGACGAGGTACATGCCCGTCTTGACCGCATGGAGACCACTATGGCCCGCATAGCTGCCGCTCTAGAAATCAAGCATGAGCCAGCTCCACGGCGCGTTCTGCACGATCCCGAGGGAACCCCAGAACCTAGAAAGCAACACTCATATCGCGAATCTCTGGAAGGATCTGAGGCAAAGTCGTCACCGGGGGATGCCCAGTCCCTCGTGGCAGATATGGAATCGGGCCCACCACGAGATCGCCCGGGCATACCCCAGCCGACCATAATGCACCGTCGGTTTGTCTCAGACATTGAAGGCAACGCGTACGATTACCGTGGGACATCGTTCCTTGCCATTTCCAATGAGGCTGCGGAGAGTGTGCATATTGCGGCGAATTCACCCTCGCCCGGTGGCTTCTCGATTCAACCCTCGGATGTTTCCGAAATCCAGGGCAAGGTCGGAAAGTTGCTCGACCCGGGCGCATACGTGACCCTGACGCAACCGGCAGATAAAGGAAAGGGCTCGAAGTTCTGGATACCTCCCAAAGAACTATGTATGGGATTTATCGAAGATTACTTCAATGGCCCAGCATGGATCTTTCCGCTGTTCCACAAAGAAAGGTTTGTACGCCAGGTGGAGGATATGTATACAAACTTAGATGCCGCAGTCGATGTAGGCTGGTTGATCTGTTACCTTCAGGTCATTGTGTTTGGAATCTACGGTCGTTTGAACAATAAGGATGAGGTGACAAAGGAATACTTACAACAGACGGAGCGGATGAAGATAATGCAAAAGGCGTCAAAGGTTGTCTGGGATTGTCTGGACGATACAAGTATCCTTTTGAAGCCGAGGCTTCTGAACATACAAGCCCTCATGACGATGGTGAGTCGTTCGGTGCCGTTGCCCATTTCAGACCACATCTGATTGATATTCTCGCAGGCTGCAGTCGCCAACGAAAGCTCCCGCCCCGAACTTTGCTGGATGCTGGTCTGCAACGCATGCTCTTTGGCTAAAGCAATGGGGCTCCATCGGAACTACACCCCCAACGACCTCACTACTGGGGAAATTTCCGAGCGAAACTACGTCTTCTGGACCTTATATATTATGGACAAGTCCTTGTCGCTAACATTTGGACGACCAAGCTCCTTCTCCGACTATGATATTGACAAAGTACCTCCGGCATACGACACAGCCAATCCTTTGTGGGATTTATATATCGCGTGGATCGAAGCTGCGCAGATTCAAAGCGAAATCCATGTCCGTCTATATAGTGCGCAGGCGGTAAAGATATCGCACGGGGAAAGGCAGAGGACAGTGGTGGATTTGGATAGGCGGTTGGGGGAGTGGTGGACGAAATACGGTGTTTTATTGGGGAGAAGATTTAGGGAGGAGCGTTTTGAGAGGGGCTATATTATGACGGAATTGGTGTTTTGTTATCATAATACAATGATTATGATACATCGAGTCAATACAGGAAAAGCCGCAGAGGGCGGGGATAATCAAAAGGTGCCCGATGGCCAGGGTTTTAGTACTGAGGAGGGTGTAATAAGAGGAAGTGTGATTGAGAGCGAGATGGTGTGTTTGGAGCATGCGCGGAGGGGAATCAATCTCGTCCGGGATACGATCTCACATAAGACAGCTCTCGCCGGGAGTTCTTTGATGATGTGGTACGTATGCATACGTCCATATCCCGCCCTTTACTCTCGCCAAATATATCCTTTGAATGCCCTCCCTGAGCGTACCACACTAACTCGATTCATCTGCAAACGGAACAACAGGCTCTTCTCATATTACCCATTTACAGCGTTCTTTATATTGTTTTCCAACATCATCCGGTATCCGCACCTCGCAACTAGCAAAGACGACTATAAGCTTCTCAAATTTGTCGTTGATTTCCTAGAGAGTCACAAATATAGCCACGCTGGTGCTGCAAAGCTATTCCCCGTTTCACAAAGCTTCTTGCAAATTGCGGCACGCTTTGTGGACCCGGCTCCGCAGACGAGCATACAATCACCTTCAGGGCCAGTGGAGCCAGCATTAACGCCAAAGCATCTTGGGAAAAGGAAACTTGATGAGACTTCGCATCAACCCATGACTGATGACGAGTTGCGAGTGGGGAGGGTACCACTCCCATCAGAGACTCTTTTAATGCAATACCCGCAGCAAGAAAATGCGCAGCTGGATATGAGACACGCGAGTTTCATTACCTGGCCTACCCCAGGCACACACTACCAGTCTCAGGAACGCTATAATAGTAATGATAATAACAATATTCCACAGATCATCACAACACAGGCCTCATCGATGTCCACTGTGTCATACGCAGCAGCTTCGAGCGCAGCAGCAGGATACGATTATATGGTATCCGGGGCAGTTATGGATGATGCATCGGGGTGGCCGCAGCAAGGTGGAAATATGGGGGAATTTAGTTGTTATACCAATACCTTGGGAGGAGGGGCGCCGCTGGGCACATATGAGGCAGAGTTTCAGGATAAGGTTGCGATGGCGGCGGGGGAGGGGCCGTTGGGGTTCGATTGGTTTAGGTGGGAGAGGTGGTGGGAAGAAAGCGGGGTTGATGGGGGAATTGGCATGCAGGAGGATGGGGAGATGTGGGCGGGGGAGGAGGAGGAATAGACTAAGAGAGCATGAGGAATAAGCGGCTGCAGTGGAGTTTATTTGCCGATCACTATTTAAGAGCTAAAGCTCTTCATATGGCTTTGCGGTAAGAGAGCAGTGGAAGTGAGTTCTTTGAGTTTTTACATAGTATGATTTTTTCCCTTTTTTTTTCCCTCTCCTCCTCCTTCTTATTATCAACTCAATTTTATTCTTCGCCGTTCTACTCACTCCATTGTGATGTTTTGTTTCTTTGAGCACTGGGATTGTCTTTCTTCTTTACCTTTATCTGCATGGCTGGATGGTTATCGGGGCTGGCTTGGCTGGTATGGTGGAATTTGGGAATAGCTTATAGTATACGATGGTTGTGGATTTCTGCTTTGGCATATGTCATGATTATTGCATGTGATCTTACGGAGGCTTAGACGGTACATGACAAGTATATAATAGTCCCGTTGTTTTATATATAGGCTGGTCTGTTAGGGATAGCGGTATTTGTTTTGGCATATCTGCATGGGGTTACATCGGTGCACAGGGAGAAGGAGGGAAGCTCAGAGGCGCAGGAGTATATAGGACTAGTTGATCGATGAACGAAAAAATAGATGCAAAATTTGGGGCACAGGAATATATAGGACTAGTTAAAAATAATGCAAAAGTTTAGTGCTCCCTGTGAGGCTCGAACTCACGACCTTTGGATGTCACAACCTGAGGATGTGTCATAGCAACCTATGAGACCAACGCTCTACCAACTGAGCCAAGGAAGCTGATCATATATTTGACTATTCTATTTTTATCATATATAGTACAAATTTTGTCACCATCTGGTTTTATTAAATTCTCGACGCTCAGAAACAAGCAACTCCTGCCACAAAAGGGATCAACCCTCAAATTAAATATAACATAAATTACACGCAGCTACCAGTAATGCCAGAGAACAAGCCATGCGGAGTAGAATAGGTAATAAATTAAGGTCATCTTCTCATACATAATATTATCCAATCCTTAGGCACACCTAAATCAGTCTAGGCACGAGAACACAGTAGTCTGTATACTAATTAACGGCGTGATATTTTTAAATCTAACAAGATGGGAAAACTGCTAGACTGAGCGGATTGCTTAGCTGTGTGTAGTACTTTACTCTACATACACTTGGGAAATATCTGGATGCTGTTTTTTTTAATAAAAAAATAGAGATGATTGTGTGCGAGGCTTTGGGTTGATGTAGTTCATTAGTCTGGTTGGCACAGCACCCTCCGTAGCAGTTCATCGGAGTTGGTTAGGACTATTATAGATAGTCTCATGCCAAGACCCTCTGGGCGACAGAGCACATAGACGGATAACGTTTGTTTGCTTAGATAATATTGAAGTTGTGAAATCATGGAAATAAAAAACATTTCCATGGACCAATGGGTATCATGAGGGAGAAATGCTGGCTATTTATGCAAATATGCACACGCGTTCGTCCGTTGACTCAAACGCTAGAGGCAAAAAAGATGCGTTGTCCCACATAATCTCAGATGTCTCCTATATTTTTACCCACCTCTAGCACCTCCCCGCATTCCTCCACCTTCCCATGAACCCTCTTCCCCCACCAACCTCGCTCTCAGCACCCACATCACCCCTGACGCTATAACATACATCAACCCACTCCAAACCTGCGGATATACATATGCCGCGCCCATAAACCCCTCTTAGCACCCGCCTTCACCAACTCCGGTCTCCTCAGAGCCAAGGCAACTGCCACACTAAACGTCGTCGGCAGCAACGTCGATAACCACACCACACTCAACGCGCTCGGCAGCTCCTTCAACCCCACAATCTCTGCAGTCACAGGCGTAATCGTCGTCCAGCATGTCCAACACACAGCGCCGTTGAGTACCGCAAACACGATACATAATCCGAACCCAGCTAATCCACAGCGCGAATACGGTGATTCCGGAGAGGAAGGTCATTAGTGCGGAGATGTTGATACGTCCGTAGATGTCAGGAACCCGACGCATGGTCTACCAAAGATCACTCCTACAGAGAGCATAGCTGCCATGATGGACCCCTGGGATGCGCTAAGCCCGATGGAGAAGGAATAGTCTACCATGGAGAAGAGAATGGCAAAGTATCGAGGGGGGAGAAGAACCCCCATAGCAAGACAAGAGCGAAGTTTGGTACACGCTTGATGAGGCCAATATCGAACGACCGGTGGGTGGGATTGATGTGTTGATTTCGATCGCGGATGAGCGAGGTAGCGAGGAGGTTGCTGACCGAGACGATGATGGCGCTGATGCGGAGTGACCATGCGATGTCGATGGTCTCGACTTCCACCGACACCGGAGCCAGCAGTGGCGATGCCGTTGGTGGCAGAGCGTTTTGCCAAGAACCGTTTGGAGATGGTCGTTGAAGGGGATGAAGAGGAAGCCAATGCTGAGGCCGAAAAGGACACCCTGGGTGAGGAAGAGTCCGGGAAGAGAGGTCAGTGCCCAGGAGGCTTTGGGGAGGGAGGATAATTGGAGCGCGGTTCCTAGGAGCATGATGTGTTGGGTTGTAAAGCCCCTGCGATAGAGGAATGCCACGACGGGACCGAGTGTCATGGAGGTGGAGACGGAGAGTCCGCCGATTAAGGCGTAGTGGTAGGGAGTGGCAGAGGGGTTGAGATCGTGGGAGAGATAGTAGGCGAGGTAGATTCCATACGCCTGAAGGCAGTGTCAGTTTTTTTTTTTTAAAAAAAAAGGAAAATGAGTCGGCGTTACGGGAACAAGGGAGAGGAAGGGTTGGGAGTGGGTAATTTACGCTATTCAACCCCCATGTGCACGCAACCACCATAAATACGCAAGCTACCACCATCTGGCGGCGGAGGCGGCCCCGGTGGCGTGCTCTTTTCTATATCACCAATTCCACGTAACTCATGATCATGGTCATGTATGTTTTCAATTTCTCTCAGCTGGTCATTACTCACTCGTACCCCGCCTTGCAATTGAACCTAGGGATCAAAGGCCTCATTTGGGGATCCAGACGTTGTTGGGCTTGACATTGGGAGTGCCAGTGTTGTTTTGAAGCTCACTACTGTGAGAGGCTGTATCCTCTTCTCAGGATTTTCCTCATTGGCGTCCATTTTGTTCTTATATCCTTTCTCGGAGACCTTCACTCCGGAATGTAAATTCTCCCTTCAAATGAGTCTCGGCCGAGTCTATATCTGCTTATACCCCTCCCTTACTTATATGTATCTCTGCTGACTTATGCGTATAGCTAGGTATATTCAGCTAGGCTAAGTTGCGGTCGCTTAACGCAACACTTAACCTAAATTTCTCCACAGATATGTCTGAATTTCTGGATGCGCTGCAGATCCAATTACTTGATCGAAGCTCTGGGCAGGAGCTTGGGCGTGTCAATAGGTGCTAAGCAAGTTAGTATTATCAGATCCAGCTGAACTACTTGGCGGGGGATAAAATTTTGGGGAGGAATAACCTTATAATATACTCACCGATGACGTTTCTGCGGAGATCTGAGGAATGGCTCGAATCCCGACTGAGCAACAAGCTGTGGGGATGGCATATGATTGCTGTGCCTTCTACTCACGTTGATCCGGATCCAGGCTTCTGCTGCTTTTGTATTTTCCAATTTGTACCACAGTTCAGATCGTGCTGACCGGGAGTTTTTGTTCTGGCTACTGTCTTGGGCGTATTCGGCAACTTTCTCCAACGTCTCGGATTCGCTGATAAGGCGGTGATCACTAGAGTAACTTCTATGCAATCGCAAGGGCATCGAGAACATCGAGAACAAGCAAACTCTGACAAGAAAATTGAAAGAAGGCTTTGGAATATGTCAGAGGGTAGAGTTAATTTAAGCAAGGCTAGAGGTAATTGACTCATGGCCGTGGCCGTTCAGCCATCTAATTGGTCTAGCACCACTGAGTTCCATCCGTACCAGGGACGTACACAGCTTTGAACTCGCTAATTTGGGATATTTTGAAGTTTCCTGTGAATAGGTCCCCGCGCTAGGGTATGGTAGGATGTACCGTAGGTGTGCATGTGGTGAAAATGACAAATGGATATGTCTTTGATTATGAGGACTTGTGACCATTAAGGTGAGCTTGTTGTAGCGCTGCATGCGGAGGGGAAATGCGCTGGTTTTAGACCTACGGTAGTGGGGCTTTTTCCTGTATGCGAGCTCCACGGCCGTGAAACTTATAATACTTATCATGAAGTACTTTGATCCCTGCATTTTGCGATACAGCGATAATTCTTGTACTGCTGGTTGCAGGAAAGAATTGCACAGTTTGTATTGACAATTTGGCTCACTGCAATAATAGTACGCTGTACCGAGTATGTAGGTAGTCTGGTTGCACAACCCCGAGACAATGACTAAGCAGTCGTCTCGGAGGTCTTTCCACCGCACCTCGTCAAAGAATCTTCACCCGACTCACAGAGTAAAACCTCTCTTACTGCCGGAATATATCTCTCCACGTTTTCAACGAGGGCTAGGCCTGCTGCGCGAAGGAATTCCACTTTTCTGGCACTCGAAATTGGATTCCCGGGACCTTGTCCACGCTAGAACGTGGCGCCGGTACGCAGTGCCGAACACCAGAGAAATGCCGCAACGCCAAGACATGAGGGTACTAGGTAGTCTGGTGGGCACTGGCCTCTCGTATGCTGGGACTTGATGTTGAAGGAAATGGAGGAGATCTGCTGAAAGAATACCTTTCCCCGCAATAATAAGCAAATGCGTTCCTAGTGATAACCAAACCGATTATCGATAACACAACATGAGGCGGAAATCATAGTTTTGATATCCGCTGCATTATCGCCGCCTATCATCAGGGTCAGGCCCCTCAAAATTCCCTCTTATGATGTCTCGATATTGGCTCAAATTCTATCTGGCTGTACCCGGTTACGATATTTATTGCAACATAAGCCTGGGGGACTAAGCAACGTTTTGCCGAAACTCGACGCCAGTGAATTATTCATGGGGAGGCATGGGTATCTAGACTCGATCTTGTTCCTGCAGCTGGAAGCGAAGTGATAGGCGTAAGATGGGCATACCGGCAACAAAAGTGCGGAGCAGGTCTCGATATGGGGTTCTTGCTATGCAGAAAAACCTTGACAAACCACCCCACATGCTAAGGTAGTTATAGAAATAAGGCAGACCCGGATATTGGCTATGGAGGAACGGCAAATCCGGATCTGATAGCCCATTCTCCCCGCGGGCTGAGCCGCTATACCCATGGATTCCACCATACAGCGCACAGTACGGCATCAGGTTCCTGCCTCTACTTGTCAATGAACATCTAATATCCCCTTTGAACCCCCCGGAGTTAGGATAGTGTTAACAAGTTCGTATGGATACTAACATCTTCAATTTCCCGAGCATGGAATGACGTGCCGGGCTTGATTCACAAAAGTCAGCCCCCAGATATGCCAGAACGCAGGCACCGATATAAATTCCCCATTCCCTCCTCGAAAATTTTGTTTTCACTAATCATCACTATTACTTAAAGCGGAAACGATGAAGTTTCTTCTCACGGCTGGTTTTGTTTTTGCAGCTCTTACAGGCTTGACAGCATCTGCGCCGTCGCAATGCTACAATTTTAAGAATGTGCGTATTGGTAGCGGTGGTGGATTTGTTTCGGGTATTGTGTTCAACCCTGGAAAGAAGGGATTGGCATATGCAAGGACAGATATTGGAGGCGCATATAAATTGAAGGCGGATGGAAGTCACGGGTGGGACCCATTGCAAGATGCGGTCACGGGACCAATTGGGGTGATTGGTATATTAA